GAGAGAGAGAGAGAAAGAAAGAAAGAAAGAAAGAAAGAAAGAAAGAAAGAAAGAAAGAAAGAAAGAAAGAAAGAAAGAAAGATCTGCTGGATGTGGTATGTGCACCTGCATTCTAGCATTCTGAAGGTTGAGGCAGGAGGCTTGCACAAGTTGGAGGCCAGCCTGGTGTATGTAGTGTGTTCAAGGCCAGCCCGAAGCACTTAGCAAGACCCCGTAGAGAAAGAGAGAGAGAGATCTGCTTCACTCTAGTGGGAACAACCACTCTGGTCAGTAAGCTCAGGGCTTACCTCGAAGGCCCTCTGTATTCTCACAAAGTCCTCCACCCCAAGGTGGTTCTCAAGCAGGCCTGCGTCCCAGCCTGCGTCTGCAGTTAGACCTGTTTTCGCAGGGCTTCCTGGCCCAAGCCGGGACCCCATGCTCAGCTCAGGGGCACAATTCTGGCAACGCGTAGCAGCTTCACCACTTTCCAAGCAGTCTTCAATTCTCCTGTTTTTGTTTTGTTTCCTTCAACAGGTGCTTTGAAAAGAAACACAACTTAGCAACAGAATTCCAAAATGAAATTACAGCCTTTCTGACAATGAAATTAGGAGACAAAATGGTCCAGCCGAGGTAGGAAATAAAATCCCTCACCCCCACCCCAGTTATTTGTTTCTATAGTTCATTTTCAAAATCCACCATCCCCTGCTTACACTCCAGGGTTGAAAGGCATTGTTAAAAAGCACAGAAACCTCATCCCAAGTTCATAGCAGTTCACACTGACACACCTTTGGGTCCTCTTTTAAACGCATCAGAAAGCAACTTTTCAGAATCACTTGCTTACCTTAACATAGGGTTTTTCAACTCCGTTTTCCTGGCCCGGGCATTAGATTGAAGCAGCTGCAGAGTTGCCCTAGCAGGCCCAGAAGCCCACCCTCCCAGCAGCGAGGAGTTGTTTGTTTCATTTCTTTCTGATGCCTTTGTATGTTTCCAGGCAACCAAAACAAAGCCCAGTAAAACTTTTCTTTCCCTTCGCCTTCCCAAGTAACAATTGAACTGAAAGTGTGAAATGTAATGTAAACACTGAGTTACTGTTTTTTAAATAACCGGTTCGCCCACTCATTTCGTAATGAAACTACATCGCTTTATTTAAAGACTGCTTTTACTACAAATGTGTTTGCTGTGAGGCATGTTATCCCCTATGAACCAATATGACTAGCCAAAGAAAAGAGCATGAGATTCTGGAATTTTGCTTTCCGCACAGAAATCTGTAAATCTTATTGAATAAGAACTCTATTCCTTGGGCGCTCTTTATCCTAGTTTCTGTGTATAGAAATTAAGCATGGCTCATACAACCGTTTTGCCCTCATTGAAAACGTGGGACGCAAGCAAAACATAATATCATAAACCTCATGATAAAACTGTTTACAGCGGCATCACTAGTTCAGCTAATGACAATGAAAAGGAAGAAAAAAAGGAGAAAAACATACTTTTTGTGAATATTTGCCATGTCCCAGGAACTGCTCTATGCACTTTACATTCTTTATCTTACTGTTTAGTCTTGGTTTTCTGACAAGTTCCCCCCGGGCTAGCCTTGAACTCAGTATGTGTCCTGGGCTGGCCTCAAGCCACTTTAGCCTCCCAAGTACAAGACACATTCTTTATCTGTTTAACCTTCAGAAAACTCCACAAAGGAGGTATGACCGTTATCTCCATTTTATGAATGAAACGGCCAAGAAAACGCTGAAAGTCAGACTGCGAAGTCAGTCAGATGTAAAATGTGGAAGGCGGCAGAAAGGCCCCAGGCTGCAGGGGCCGTGCGACAGGCCGATGCCCTCTTTGCACCTTGCTTTCATCTTTACACAAGCTGGCAATTCGGCACTAGGTATTCTCCAAGGCCATTGTCTGCTGCAAGAGTCTGTGAGCTGGCGTTCAAAGGCACACGTGCTCTCAGTGGACTCCCCACAGCACAGGGAGGGGTCCCTTCTGCCAGCGTTCCTGAGCCCACCTTAGAAAAACTGCAATTTCATTCATTCATTCATTCATGTGTCTGTCTATACTCTGTTCAAAAAATCATTCCTTAAGACCCTATCATGTGTCCGGTCCTGGACTGGATGTTCACAGACTCTGGAGAGCAATGACCTGCCTAGTCCCCCTTTCGGGTGAATTCCAGGTTTGGCTGTGTCCAGTGCTGTGAGGAGCAGGATCCCAGTGAGCAGGCTGATAATGGTTTAGATGGACGGGGTCAGCCCCAGAAATGTTTATAAAATATCGTATAGTGCTATTCTGCAGAGTCTGGCTTAGTTTAGTAACAGGCACTAATGAGGGAAGGAAGAGGAAACTGTAAAACCGTTCTATGAAAATGCACCCAGAGAGGCGGGTATCCCACAGGTTGATAAAGCAAAATTTTCTAGTTATTCTGAGATCATCAAACTGCCTGGCCCACTTAGCCTCCAGGAAGGTACAGTTCTAAATGTTTGCATTAGTAAAAACAGGAAAGTGTAATAAACAGCTAGCAAATTATAGTAGGCGATAATCAAATGACACACTTTTCCTTCTATAAAATTATAGCATTGGGAATAATTCTTGATGGTAAAGTCTTAAGTAACTGCACAACTAGTTTTCAGGTTACATTTCTGCAGCACTGTGAAATCCATAACCGGCCTCTTGACTGCTGGCATTCACGTCCTTGCTTGTCATGAACCCATCAGGATTTTGTGAAAACCTGACACATGACCAGCCCGATCCTAGGCTTTACGATGAACGTGGCAGTGACGAAGACAGTCTGTGCTTTCCGAACGCTGGCCATTCAGTCCAGAAAAGGTGACAAGCTGCACTGGCGCTGCGGTCCTGCAGGGATGGGCCAGCCCTCGCTAGGGCAGTGGGGCACCGCGCGCCCGGGAGTGCGTCAGCCTTACACGCCTCGGCCTTTGAAACCCTGGAGTTAAGCAGCTCCCCCTCCGAGCAGATGCCTCCCGTACCTGCTCAGCCCAGACTTCCAGTCCGCGCTCGGATCCCTGCTCTCGTCCTCTCGGTACCTGCTCCCCACCCGGGTCAGAGGAGACCCCGCTTTCCCGATTCCTCTTCCTTCGGTTTTGCCGGGACCTATTCCGAGGAGCGTTCCTCAGCTTCACCTAGAATCCTCCCTTCACCACCTCAGTAGATCCGAAACCACGTCTCACGAATCCCCTTTTTCTCCCAAGCAGTCTCACACCGAGGCTGCCTCTCGGCCCAGTCTCCACCTCTCCAGGCCAGAAGAGCTACGTTCCCACCACCTACCTCTTGAACCCCTGGCTTCCCAGCGGGGCTCCCGAGACGTGCGTCACCCCAGGGTACAGCAGCCCTCTCTTTGTCACTGCATAAGCCGTTAACAAATACTAGTTTCCTTCCTTCCTCATTTCTGTTCTTCTCAGTGAGAATTAGCTATTTCCTCCACTCTAAAACCATGGCATTTTTTTATACGCTAACCACAGCACTTTTTATTTTTGACTTGCAATATAATGCAGTCAGCTGTCCGCGTATTCCTGCCACTAGGTTAACTCTCTGAGAACAGGGATACTTCCTCACTAAAGCCTGAAGCCTTACATTGTTCAACACAAAGCTTTGCACAAGCCACGCAGCAGTGCCCTGACTATCCGCATTCACAGACTGCCAGAGGTGAGAGGGACCCTCACCGCATCCTCGAGTGACCAGCGCGCGGTGCTGGGAGTGAGCGGCACTGGGTCGGAAAGGAAGGCCCAGTTCTGTGAAAACAGAAAACGATGAGCAACGAATTCGAGATTGTATCTCCTGGCCACTTAATAAACTATCCAGGCACTTTTGAAATAAAGTATTTTTTACACACGCAGACTCCATGTAATATACAAACGCGTCGAGGCTCTTGCTCTGTCCTCGTTGCTGGTTTTGGCCCCAAAAAGGCAAAGGTGGGTGAGGTGTGCCCGTCCCACCGTCGTTCACAGGGCAGCGAGGCTGGTTCTCAATTCATCCTGCCTTTGCAGAGAGCGCACTCCCTGTTGCACTCAGGCAACGTAATATTAATCTCTTCTTGATCTGCTAATGTTTCAAAATAACAGAACTGTATTTTCATGACAGCATTTCTCGAGCTTAGGTACTTGAACATAGAAGACATGAACTTTTGATGTCCTAAAATTACTGAATATATGACGTTTTAATTCTGTAATTATAAATCACCCAATGTTAAATTTTAGTCTAAGTAAGTGATGGTAGATAAGCCACGTGCACATGTGTGTATAAAATGGGAAATTCTGATTAGTGACTTCACCGTTCCTACTTATTTGAAAAAAGCCTGCTGTGCCTTTACCAGTAGGCACTCAGAATCCACCAAAGTTAATATTGAACACTGATGCTTAATAATATTCTCAGGTTTAATCTGTTTATGCCAGTGCCGACGGGATTCCCAGCAGCAATTATCTCGCGGGCCTCTTTGCTTTAACGCAGCCTTCTTGTCGAAACCCACTGTCCTGGTTTTCTGTCCTCTGCGGGACTCTCAGTGGTCAGCCAGCCTTCCACTGGGGAGCCACTTACTGGGCGGTAACTATGAACGAGGCTACCAATTCCTTCACGCTGCCCTTCTGAGAGAACACTGCAATCTCTGCTACTTGGAGCTTCGGAACAGTTTGTCAAAGTCACCTTGGTATTGAACGCATGTATCCATCTATAGAACCAATAAAAGACAGTCATAAAATCATTGTATGAAAGGAATCGCTGAGAACCCAGTAAACACTTAGCTGATTACCTCTTTGAAGAATGACGGAAAGAAGTAGATTGGAAATTAACAATTAATGAGTTCCTCATACGTGCCAAACAGCGTGTTAAGCACTTTCACAGATGTTCCTTCATTTAACCTTCATGATATTTTTGCCCTCTTTTTCATTTCCCCTTGTTAACAGATAAGAAAACTGAGGCAAAATTAAGTGCTGTGTTCAGTTGCCTACAACTTGCAAATTCTACAATAATGCTGGTGGAATGATGCTAATTTTTCTGTTAAGAAATCTACAGGGATGATTTCATTCAATTCTCCGGTTGAATGAAACCCCAGTTCTACGGCAACTGTTATTCTCAACATCTTTAAATGAGTAAACTGAGGCTTAGACAAAAATACCTTGTTCAGGATTATCTAGCAAAAACAGTAGACAAGCTAAAATTCTAAGCCCAGAACTTTCTACCCATGCCATGGTATAATGCCCTGGGCAGAGTAACCTGCTAAACACCACATTGAATTCTAATCCATTTTGGGAACCAAGAAGTACAAAAAGTACGGGAACACGGAAGTACATACCAGGTAACAAGCCAAAGGGGTTCAGAATTCGGAATTAGAAGGTGCAAGTCCGAGCTCTCTTATCTTCAGTCCCATAATGTTGGACAGGTTGGGCCACTTCTCACCATGAAGATAACAATACAGTTTCTGAAATAGAATGGTTTTAAGGAAAATTGGAAAACTATGGTGAGAGCTTTATGCAAATTGTAAAAGCATTATGCATGCAAATTAACATCAATATTAATACTGCACAGGGTCAGTAAAAATCAAATTCCCTGTAAACTCAAGGATATCAGGGAGGACTTCATAGAGGGAAGCAAAATTATCCACATCACGGCATTTAACAGTGAAGCTGAAATGATATAATCATCTTCACTGCTCCTAGGGAGGCCTTAGTTTGAACATTTCCCATAGAGTAATGTTAATCAATGCTTTAAGGTTATTAAATGCAAAGACTGTGTATGCAGACAGAGTATCACTTTAAAAAACAATTTTTTGCCTAAGGATTCATCAGAGCTAATGACAGAAGTTTTCCCTGAGAAGACTAGGTCTGGCTGGCACTCTCAGTCTAGTTTTTTTTTTTTTAAAGGCAAAGGCAGAATTTAATAAACAAACACGTGGAACCCAATGCAGTCATTCAGCCAGCTTTTCTCTCAGGTTAGAAATTGCATGAGCCCTAACAAAAGCTGTGTTGTAACATTTTTTTTTTAATTTTAAAGATAAAAAACTAACAAAACAACAACAATGAAGACAAAATCAAAACAACACAAAAACCA